AGACTGTGCCTCAGCACTAAGTTACTGTTACTTGCAGTAAGGCAAAGCAAGTCTCGTTAGAAAATAAATCCTCCACAGAGCCAAGAGACTGGATAATAGAACAGAAAGAAAAATTACTCTATAACAGCCCATTAAAGAGGTTCAAAACCTTGTTTCATTTTAGTGTCTTGGAAAGCTGCTGGTATGTATCCAACCAAGCTTTGCTTGTATGTATATGAAGTTGAAAAAGGTTAAACCTACAATGTATGGAACACTTACAATTATGAAAGCTTGGAAACTTTATGTATAAGGTCCATCAGGCTCTAAAAATCTTTATTACGTGAACACAATTAATTGTATGTTTGGGGAAAAAGAACTGAATAGTAAGAAAAAAAAAAATAAAGCCAGAGACTATAGTATAGAGCTCTGTTCTTTAACAATAAGTAAAAACTCACTAATGTGGATGAAATACAAAATGTGTCATGGACCCAATAATCCTCCCCTTCACAAGAATGCAGGCTATGACTTAAAACACACAGCTCTCAACTCTGACTTGGAAGGTTGGTTCTGAAGCAACAAATAGCTCCATTGCTAAATTAACCTGGTTTTCATATGTTCCACCTTTTACAAACCTCTGACAAAGTTTGGATTCACATTTTTACGGAGAGTTTTGCTGGAACCAGAACTGGGATTACAAAAGCAGAAGCAAGTTTTAGCTGTAATAGCACATCTTTTGCCACTGAAACACACTGTGGATGGAAAGAGCTGTAATAAATAGCAAAGAATGTTCCAAGGGCTGGTAGGGATGAAAAATGTTGGGCTTTGGTTTTTTTTATCCTGCTTGGACTAAGATTTGTAAGCACAGACAAAAATGTGAGCAAGTCGCAGCTGATTCAGACATAATAAGATTTCAGCTCCAAAATGAGCTGCAATGGGGGTTTTGCTGAATACTTTAATCACCTTTATTCTCTCTTCTGAAGCAGAGGGAACTTCCCTTCTATAGCTGCTGCAACAAGAACAGGTCACAGCAGGACAGACTGTATATGGAGCTACAATGCAGTTTGATAATTTTCACATTAAATAATTTAAATCTTAAGACTGGAGCAAAAAAAAAAAAAAAATTCAAAAATTTCCTGAAAAAGAGTTTAGAGAACTTCATACTGAGGAAGAGGGGGAGACATTGCCAGTTGTCCTACGTCAACACTTCCAGGCATGCAGGGAGCCAAGTCTTCCATACTTGGAGGCTCTTTACAGCTCTAGGACTCTAATTCCCTTTTTCATTACCTGATATCACCACATGAGATGCCACAGATTTCCCAACTCTCTTCAAAGGGGTTTAAAAAACAAATCCACCAGTGCTTGTCTCAAAGAGCTAGTCAGGTTTGACAATAAATATTGCCTCATGATGCAAAAAGAGTGATTAAAAAAAATATATATATATACATATAAATTACATAGATATGTAAGTAAAAACTCTAATAACTAGGTAAAACTTGGATTATGTATTGATGCCTCTGCCTTGCAGTAGTGTTTCTAAAGCAGGAACTGTAACTAGAAGATTAGAGGAGTTATGGAAAAACTGAGTTTTCAGCTGAAAAAAAGATCCGCTGGCTTATTTTAGAAATTATTCAACTGGCAGTTGCTACACTTGGCCGTTTATCTGTTCCACAACATAAACTCTGACAGTCTAACAAACTCCTTCTTTCTTTCCCTGCTGGCCAGTTCAAAGTGTGCATTTTCCAGTGACTATGTAATTCAGTTTTGGCCTGATCTCATAGCTGCCACTCCAGCAGACCTATTAAAAATAAAAACCATACAAATCTAGAACTTAAACTCCCAAAGCAGAACCACCTGATTGCAGAAACAAGCTACACCACTTTATAAATGGGGGCCAGGGAACAGCATCTCTTTTACAGAGAAATGCTGTAGAGTCTTAACAACTAGAAGTACACACAGTTTAAGACATTTAAATTCCAGAAAAACAACACTGAGCAGCACTACAAGAATATCAGATTCCCCCACACACCATTTCTGATTGCAGCTGAAGCCAGAAAAATATAACAGATTGATGCAACCGTAATAGCAAAAGCACTGTTCTACTGGTGCCATGGCATGCAATTCTACTGGAGTTAACTGTAACTAACCTTTTTGTTTTCTTTTCTCTTCTTTTCTTTTCTTTTCAGAAATGTCAGGGTTTGATGTCTGTGGCAGTTTATGGGCTTGGGCTTGGAATACTTCTAACTGTCACTTACATCCTGGTGTTATTACATTGGGGTCTGGTTTTACCGTCTCAAAGTGGTTTCTGGTTTTCTGATTCTGGTTCCTGGTTTTTTGAGCCTTTGGAGTATTGATGTATTTAACTGTTTATAGACTCAGATGGGCATAATCATTCTTGTAATCACTGCATTATTTTGTTGCTGTTTGAAGCTAGCTGTGTGTGTTGCTGTGTGTAAGATGGGTGCTCAATAGAGTACAGCTGTGAAAAAGAGCCCATTAAGGTGCATACTGGCACATTGGAAGGAATTAAGAAGCCCATCAGGTGGTAATTTGAATAAGAAAACCTTGATAAAGTATTGTAATCAGTGGTGGCCTTTGTATAGGTTAGGCAGAAGGGAGAACTGGCCTATTACAGTTAATGTTATTTTTAAGGAGGGAAGGAAAAATTGTATTTTGAGACCCTTGGAGATTGGAGGAACATCTCCAAGACCTTGGAGAGCGTGCAACAAAAGATGAAGTCCTGTTCCCAGAGAAGCTCATCGGAAACCGTCCAGTGACTTCCAAGAGGACAAGGATCCCACCTAATGTCCAGCACAACCTCTAGAGAGCACATCTGGGGAAAGGAGAACTGTGATAAGGAATTTTGCAGACTCAGTTAGGGAGCTACTGAGAACAAGACTGCCTGAAGCACAGAAAACAACAGAGAAGGGGAAGGAACAATAAACAGATGGCACTACATGGGCATGTTTAACCTTAGATGAAAATTCCTTTCTCTATTTTTCAGTATCTGCCTCGAAATTTTATGCTGTCTCTAGGCACCCAGCACAGAACTTACATTCTACTAAATGAGTAAATTTACCTCTTATAGGCAGCAAAATTATTAAGTGGGAGAGCCTGACCTCCAGGAATACCAGCATATCTAGTCTGATCAATTTAACAACACACCATAGGACCACTTTCTTCTGGTTGTATTGTATCCCACGCACTGTCAAATGATGGTTTTCTGAGAAATAGCCTTCTTGGGCAGCAGTCACACACTGGGAGGGGTAACTTAAAACTCAAAGTGTTGGACTCAGAAAGAGGTCTTCTTACTCTGAGTTACTGGAATACTCTTCTTGTATATCACATGTGCAGCTACAAAACCCTAAATAACTCATACTTTCTTGCCCCAGTAGCATCTGTAATAGATTTTGACTTCCTTTAACCTTCAGGTTTGAAACCTATTGGTCCCTTAGCGGTCTGTACTCTGTGTTTGCTGGTGGAGTTGACACCAGCCCTTGCCATGGCAGTGTATATGGTGGAGTGGTCTGCTCCATAGCAGCAAATTTGGTTAGTGAGCCCCAGCACACTCGGTCCATCAGCAGCCCCTGACTCCCTTCACCCATGTTTTCGTCCAGACCATGACTTGTGGTGCTGAAGGGACCGCTCTGAGGCACTGCTGAGCCAGCAGGGCTGGACGGCACCAAAATTAGCAGCTCTGGCAAGTCCTTGCAGAAGGAGACCTGCCAGCACCTCGAGTCCTGGAAGGGCTGGCGCCCATCTCCTGCCCCAAAGAGCTGTGCTGGGCAGCCACAGGGGCCCAGCAGACATGCTCCGGCAGGACCCCCTCCCCTCTGTGTCCCCAGCCAGGCCAGCCTGGATCCCTTTATAGTGTCCTCCCCACAGCTCCAGGCTTTGCTCATCTGCTCTGTTGGATGCTTTGAGTCTTCAACAGAACCACCAAAGGCCAAGGGCACTTAGGGTACTTTCCCTTCCCCACTGCACACCTGGGCAAGTGTTGCTGAGAACGATAACCCTTTTTCCCCTCTTCCCAATGCCCGGTGGACACTGGACACCAAAAAACCCTCCGGAGACTCTGTGTATTGTCATAGGAACTTTATAATAGGAACTCCCCTGCTGTGGTAATGCAAAGTTCTTGCAGAGCTGAGACCTTCCTCGCAGGCTCATGTGGCCCCAGCAGACACAGCTTCCCACATCAACGCTCCTCAGAGCTCCGGCAGCACAGCCAGAAACTGCCCCGCAGAGCAGGCTGGGTCTTGCAGGCCCTGCAGAGCCAGTCTCGGAGCTGCTGGAGTCTGGACGATGGAGCTCTATGGGCAGCTTCGATGACACAGCAGGTCTGAACTGCCAGGCAGGAGATAGCAGGGCTGATGTCATTCTTCATATCTTCAAGGGCTGCAACAGGAAAGAAAAGAGCCAAGGTCAGAGCCTGCATCTGTGGCTGACCTGAGAAACCTCTGCAGCCAGGGCCATCCCACCCAGCCCTTGCCATGGCCAGGAGGGAGCAGGGCCCAACACCATCAGCCGGGAGATGCTGTCCGTCAACGCCCCTCATGGCCCCGAAATCGCTCTCTGCTCTGCCCAAGCCATTCCTCATCCACGCAGGGAGAAGAGCCTTTTGCAGCCAGGGCGAGATTGCAGCTCCCTGCCCAGGCTCTGTGCTCTTCCACCAGTCCCCACTGCTCTCACTCACCATCAGTGACCATCTGCAGCTCCAACTGCTGTCCCCTCAGGTACCTCCCAGCGATCCCTGGGAACACAGATGCTGTCAGGGCCCCAGCGGTGTCACAGCTCCCCCCCAGTGGCACTGCCAGCCCGGCCACACGCCCTCCTGCCCTGGCAGGGCTGAGCCCGGGCCCTTCCCACCTGGGGAAAGAGAACAGCATGTTGCTTGTTGTGTAATGGGAGGCGTAGGGAGATAATACGATCAGAATGACCAGTCGGCAGATTTTCAAGTTTAGAGGCAATAGAGTTTTTAATCGTGAAGCCAACTCCTGAGAGATGCCTTTCAGATCTGGGTTTACCTGACCAGTAGAGTGTATAACCGGCACCATGTTCTCTAAGGCTGCCTTCCTCAGGAAGACGAACTTCACTGAGAGCAGCAATGTCGATGTTGAGACGTGACAGTTCATGGGCAATTAGAGCAGAGCGGTGCTCAGGACGTCCACTGTTCGCAGTATCGAGCATGGTTCTGATGTTCCAGCATGCAAGTGTTAATTTGAGTACACCTTTGGAGGCAGGTGTATGCCTTTTACTCTTAATCTTTGTCTGACCGCAACAGAAGATGCCCGTTGGCCGCGGTTAACCAACCAGGTAAAGAGTGGAGATGAGCTTTGGTTAGGCCACCTTTTCTAGGCCCCTCTCCGTGTGGAGCAAGCAGTGCTCTCCTTGAAAAAGGCTGCTTGGTCGTTCAGGATGCTGCCGAGTGAGTCTGTCATCTCCAGGGTCAGACTCAGGCGACCAATGTCCTGAACCACCT